TTCCTTCCTTCCTTCCTTCCTTCCTTCCTTCCTTCCTTCCTTCCTTCTCTTTCTTTTGTTTTATTTTACGAGGCAGTGTTTCTCTGTGTAGCCCTGACTGTCCTGGAATTTAGAGATCCTCTGCCTCGATTAAAGGTGTGCTCTACCTTTGCTCCCTTGCTCCCTTCTTTAAAAAAAAAAAAAAAAAGACTGACTCACAATCAGGCAGTGGTTTCTCACACCTTTAATTTCTGTACTCAGTAAGCAGAAGCACAAAGATCTCTGGAGTTCAAGGTCAGCCTTGCTTGCCCACAGAGTGAGTTCCAGGACAGCCCAGGCTACACAGAGAAGCCCTGTCTCAAAAAACAAAACAATAAGATCCTGACTCATACAGAACTAATAGAAGGCCCATATGAACTTGATTAGATCCATTGCTGGCCAATGCTTGTAATCCCAAATCAGGAACAGAGACAAAAGGAGAGAGTGAGTTGGAGACTAGCCTGGGGTCATAGAAAATTCAAGACAAACCTGGGCTCCCCAGTGAGTCTCTTATAAAACCAAGGATCAGGGATATATCCCTATGATAGCTTGCTTGCTTGCAATGAGCAAAGCTATGGATTTGAACCCCAATACTGAAGGGAAAACCCCTCAGTCCCATCTTAAGATGATGGACCTTTAATGCCCCTACCCTTCACTAGGTCCCACCCCTTGGAGGTTCTACTACTTAACCACCATCATATTGGGAGCCACACTTACAACACAGGAACCCTTGGAAGATACACTCATCTAGAAGGGGCAGGGATGGCAGCTGGGCCTTCCCATCCCCCTGGAGAGAAGATGCTCTGGGCTAGCTGTGTCCAACTCTTCATTCAGACAAAGAGGCAACCAGTAGCTGGTACTTCAGATGCGGAAACAGGGACAGGAGTGGGTCTGGAAGAAAGCCCTGGGAGAGAAAAGAGATAGGAAGAGTCCTCCACTCCACCCAAACCCGGACAGGGGACAGGTGCACAGTTCAAGAGGAAACAAAGAGGGGCTCGCTGACCCAGAACAGGTAGGGGCACAGTTTAGCCACATCCTGGGCACAGCAGAGGGCTTCCCGGAAAGGACCAGGAGAATTCCACGCTGCTGGGTGAATGAGGACAATGTCAAATCTAGGAGCAGGGTTCTGGGCAAACCTGCCCAGCCAGAAGGGGAAATGTCACTCTCCTACCACCACCCTGCCCCACATCCTGGTGCCCTCTGCATAAGAGACTTTCAATACTTGCCAACATCTGTAGTTGCTTTTAGTGGTTAGAGTTGCCTATCACATACTGGCTACAACTTGCCTTTATTAAGCTGGACACTCATTGATTGCTACAAAGTCTGGTCTGATCTGAAATGAAGCAGACAGTAGGACAACAGGAGGGCTGTTTAGGCTCCCTGGGGGTTGCACAGCGTGGTGGGAAAAAAGCCCCTACCGGCTGAGAACACACTCTGTCCTAGCCCTTCCTGACTAAGGTGATCTTAGTCCTACCTGAAGGATAAGCTTGCAAAGACTCACAAAGCCTGAAACAGTCAGAAAACAGAGGAGAAAAGACGGGAAGAGCTTAACTCATGGCCAGCATTTCTCTGTGGCTGCACCAAGGTTTTCCATTTGTTGACCTCTGGTGCCAGACGCTTCTCTATCAGATACGAGTCTAAGAGGTCCCTGTCTCAGGTGGCTTCCCTAGAGCAGGAAATCAAATGGGAAAGGTTGCCAAGAAACACATGTTCCCTACAAGGTGGTTGCTGTTTGCATAATGCTTTGTCTCCTGAACTCAAACAGGAAGTTTAACCCCCCAAGTCTTCCTAGGCTTCTTCCTACTCTGGTGTTTAGAGTTGGGGGATATAAGCTAGGTCACTGGAGTAGAGTCCTCATAACTAAAACTGATGTCTGTATCAGAGGGGAAGAAGCCTTGCAGACAGGGGCATGCGTGTAGTGCTGCTATTGTGCAATACAAAAAGTATTCACCAGGCCCTGCACCACGCTGTCCTTGTCCTAGGCAGTGTGAGCTGAAATAAAGCTCCTTTCTTTGCAAAGTAGCTGGCCCCAGGAATTTCATCATAGTAATAGGAGGTTAATTAATAACTAGACTAGCTGATGTCATATTTATTTTACAGATGTGAAAACTGGGCTTCTAAAAGTTCCTAATTGCTTGTATATTAATATATATATATAATGTGTAATTAACATATATAGCATATAGTATATTAGCATACTATAGTGTTAGCAGACATGACATACTAGTGAGCTGTATACTAATATAAATGTATGCTATAGTGTATTAATATGATATATAATATGTAATGCACATACCAATGAAATATGATCCATAGATCTGTATGCAACTCAGATACTGGATAGAAAAACCTATGATGCAAACAGTATCTAAGGTCTCAGTACATTGGTTCACATTAAGAGAAATAATTAAGAGCATTTCACAAAGCCTTTTACATGGAACATGACCATCAGATTTATTCCAACTTGCTCTCCTGCTATTTTAAAGAAGGGGAAATTAGCTTTGGAATCAGAATTTTGAGGCTGGCCCAATGACCTGGGTCTGTCAACTTAGATGCATAGAAAATTGAGACAGGATTGGGAGTTCAAAGACATCATAGATAACTCAGTGGTGCTAGGCCTTCCAGGCACATGAAAGGTCCTAGATTTGATCCAGGGGTGAGGGCGGGACTATGTGAAAATTTCCATTTCCTCCGCCATGCAGAGGAGGCTTCCCTGGGCCTCCATTCTTAGGAGGTGATAATGGGCCTGAGCCATGCAGCTCCTCCTTCCCACAGGTGGGTGCTGGCTTGTCACCAGTGCCCAGCACCTCCTGCTCTCCTGACTTGAGCTCCCTTTCTGGAGTCTCCATTGTTTTAACAGACAGAAACTCTAGACTGGAGTAGCAAGCTGTAATAAGGTGCCCATGGCCAGCTGCCAGAGAATCCCCCAAGGAAAGGTTTTTCTTTTTCTTAGTCTGGGGTTGCCCTTGTGTTCCTAATTAAACCTGTGTGGGTAACTGCCCAGTCCACATACCTTTGAATTCAAACCAGAAAGCAGTCATATTTTAGATATGAAAAGCAAGCATTGAGCCTGGTGGTGGTGGCACACACTTGGATGCCAGCACTTGGGAGACAGAGACAGGCGAATCTCTGTGAGTTCGAGGCCAACCTGGTCTACCTGAGCTAGTTCCAGGATAACTAGGGCTGTAACACAGAGAAACCCTGTCTCAAAAAGCCAAAGAAGAAGAAGAAGAAGAAGAAGATGAAGAAGAAGAAGAAGAAGAAGAAGAAGAGAAAGAAAGGCAAGTGTTTTTAATTTTTTAAAAGTAGTAGAACAACTTCACAATATAATACATCTCTGAGTCAGATGCAAATGATGACAAGATTTAATACCACCCCAAAAAGACTGTACTAGTTTTGGGAGAGGTAATTGCTTTCTGTTTTTTGTCTTTCTGTTTCTTGTTTCTTGTCTTATGCATTTAAGGAATGGCCAAGTTCCCACAGTAAGTTGGGTCTTCCTCCTTTCTGCCACGGAGGAAAGTTGTTCTCATAAGAGACACGCTTGGTGTCTGCACACTTGTCCATCCCTGTCGGCAGCAGGGTGAACTGCCAGTCAACGGGGAAAGTTGTCAGTGCACCTCAGACACTGAGACGGCAAAAAGAAGCCGACCACCATGAACACCACACCGTTCACCCTGGGGCAGGCCATGCCTCTTCTTGGGATTCAGGGATTTCTTTTCTATCCTCACTTGCCGAGTAGCTGGAGGGACATCCACAGGGGCAGCATTTCTTCTAAGATTTTCCTTTGACCGTTTTCCTCAGGCATGGGCCAATCAATTAATTACGAAGCACGAACATGTCAAGTTTCCTCAACATTTTCTTCTGGCAATAGCTAGCATAAGACCTCCAGAGAGGTCGAGGGAGATGGTCCAGTAGGTGAAACACTTGCAGTGCGTGTGAGGGCCCGAGTTCTGATCTCCCAGGACCCACGCAATGAAGTCACAGTGGCAGGTTCATGCCAGCCTAGTGGTGGTGCGATGGGAAATAGTGACTGGTGGCTCCCTAGGAGCTCACTGACTCCCTCATGTAACCTCCGCCAGTGAAGTTCTGGGCCAGTGAGAGACCCTGACTCAAACAAAAGGCGGGAGTGCTTGAGGACACCCCGAGTGCCTTCTGACCTCCATGTGCATGCGTCCACATGTGAATGTGTGTACCTGCACACACAAGTGTGCCTATTCACCCACAAGCACACACGTACCCAGACACACACAGATCAGGGAGAAAGAAATGAGACAAGAACTGCTAAATTGCTGAGAGAACATGCCAAGCCAGGACCATCTCTCAGGAAGGGGCCTGATGTGGGCTGTGGGCTGTGTTCTTGGTTCTAGGTGTAGTTTCTTTCCAGCTGCTTCCTTCCTGTGTCATTGAAGGCCTGTTTCCTCCACCCCTACACCTTTGGGTACAGTGGGAAGACTCCAGATACTGAGTTTCAGCCTCGGTAGCTCCTTAGTCATGGTATGACCTGTGTTATCATTTGCCCTGAAGGACCAGTCATGTTCCTCTTAGTGTGTGTCACTGTCTAGAATGAGCCAGTTTATAGGTACCGTGAATGAATGAAAGCTTTCTGACTGGGTCTGGTTTCTGCAGGCTCTGAAGCCTCCCTTACATGTCTGCAA